GTATGTATGTATGTATATAGTATACGTATATGTATATGTATATACATATATATATATATATATATGTGTGTGTGTGTGTGTGTGTGTGTGTGTATGTGTATATATATACATGAAATATGGTATTTTTCAGAAATATGCCATATGTACCATATACATATGTACACATATTCACGAAATATATAATATAATAAAGTATATGAAATAAAACGTATATGCGATAATATATTACCAGCTATAAACCAGCTACTATACACCTGTACAATTCCTTTAACTAGCTACAAACTACAGCCACCAACTGCAAAAAACAGTCAATATGCCTATATAAATCATTTGAAAGAACTGCATAATAAAGGCTATATGCCGTGAAATACTGCATATTATATTTCGTAAATATGTATATATTGTACTTTATATTGCATATTTCATAAATATGCCATATTTCACAAGTATGGCATATTTCAGAAATATGGCATATTTTAGAATATGTCATATTTATGGCATATTTCAATTTTTAAATACCAAATATTATTATTTTTGCCGTATTACGTATTTTTTTTCCAAATTTCATGTCATATTTCATATTTTATATGTAACGTTTTCAGTGCATATTTTTTTTAAATAATAATACGCCAATTTTTTGCCATATTCACTATCGAAAGTATGTGCTGCTCGGTCAGACAGTGACTCCAGTCCGACCGTCCATGGAAAGTTCTACACATTCTAAATATTTTTACGTGGTTTTGCGCCTTTTTTTTATACAAAATCAATATATATATCATGTACTATTTTATAGTAAATATTTACTGAGGTGATTGAGGCCCTGAGCTGTGAAGGCGACATGCGAACTGCGGGTTGCGGGTTGTGTCGGGTACTTGGGGGCTTAGGCAGTTGGGCGTCCACTGTGGTCACCATTGACTCAGTCCAGTGAGTCCACACTCCACAGTCCCCACTCCCCCAAGATTGGCCCAGGGCCCAGGGCCCAGCCCAGGAGGTTCTGACCAGCAGAGTGTGCTCTACTCTACTAGGTACTATGTAGTAGAGTGCGCTCATACTTGACAGTTGACTCACAACTTGACAGTCACAGAGTGCCTCAGAGGCTCAGAACCTCATTTCACTGTCCAGTCTCTCCCTCTCACTCTCGAGGAGTCGGCACTCGGCACTCGGCACTCGGCACTCGGCTCTCGGCTCTCGGCTCTCGACCCTGGGGCCTGGGCGTCTACCCCGAGGGTATCGGCCCTTGGGCCCTCGGCTATTTTTAGTATTTAACCTTCATGTGTGTGAGTCTTAGAGACCTCTGAGACGTGAGTTCATGAATCATCATAGTCCCCATTTTTGAGTTGGAGTGGCTTTTTGTGACCGTGTTCTTCATAGATGATTGGTAGTTGATAGACCCGAAACTCGAATTTTATAAATTTCAACTCTGTTCTATTTTGAAAAAGAACCTAGTGGAAAGATGGGAGCTAACCTGTACCCTCAATTCGTTCCTACTGTACTACATACATAGTGTTGATGTTTTTGAGAAACAAAAAGCAAAATTAAGAATCTCAATGAAAAACGTTTATATTTTTATTATTGTTCATTTACGTTTTTGTACAAAAAAGAAGTGAACGTCACCTGCTATCAGCCTGTAAGCAATGTATGACTGTATGCCGTTTGGTGCAATCGCAAATTGCCGCATTGTAGTAGTTTTTTAAATAAAATCAAAATAGAAAGAACAAAATCAGTTTTTAAAAACATCACCCTCACTATTCTCCAAATTTTCTCTCTTATTATAAACAATAATTGGAATTTTTACCCATAAGTCCCGAATAATCAAGCCAAAACCTCGGCCAAATTGAGTATGTAATATGTTTTCATTCACCTACATACATATATTTATTTTATCTGTCCGGGTGATATTTGTCCTATTATGTGCAGTCATACCTCTTTATATGTCTACCTCTTTATATGTCTACCTCTTTTAAGTGTCTACCTCTATATATGTTCATTTTTCATTTGGGCCGACCCTTCTAGAGCTGGCCCACTTTTGGGGCCCTGGAACTAATTAATCAGAAGCTCTCAGTTTAAATTTTTACTCATCATCAATATTTCCTAGAGTGATCCAACATTCCAACCGTAAGTGGGCCCCGGGATACAATCTCAGTGAGGCTTCATATGTGTAGTCTACACACAGTGAACACGCCATAGGTACACTTCTTCTTCATGGAGGATACTCCTAGCTTAGGTCGCTGTTGCACGAAAGGGTGCACGATCACGCAACCAACATCAGGTGCTCACAAATGTACTGCGATCGTAATATGCATGCCTTTTGTGGCGTGCATCCTGGGGAGGGGTTTGGAACGAATTCGATCAGTTACTGCTTGTCTACAGATAACTGCAAGCCACCAAATGTATCAACAGCAATCCAATCAGACGAATTGACGCCACCTGCATCTGCAGCATCACTGTTAGATCAGACAACTACTGATTCTGATGCAATGCAGGAAGTTGATACGACACAATCTAGGTCTAAACAAGGTGCATCGTCTGGGGTTAATGAAGCGTCAGACACAATAGTGAAGAGACTGTCTTATAGTATTAAAAAGAATGTGTACAAACAAACTGTGTTATCAAAGGTGTGTGCCGTTCCAGCAAAGAGAGTTAATCTAACAAACAACGAGAAAGGTGTCGTCGTGCGCACTATCAAAAAGAGTGAATATGACTTGAGCAAGCCATGGAGAGATAACTATAAGAGTGATTTAGTTAAAGAAGCCGTACAAGCTGCACGTACAACATATGGTATAAGTATTAAAACTATACAGAGGTTTATGATCGCTGGAGAGAAAATTATTAGTCTGTCTACCGAAATGCATGCAAAAAGGAAATATCGTGAGAGAAAGGGTACTATCAGCTCCATATCTGTCCTATGCACCTCACAGGTAGTACCTGACCCAGACATGTCTACCTCTATATATGTCCAATTCTTGGCCCTGGGCGGAACCTGGACATATATAGAGGTATGACTGTATCTGATATTTTATAGAGGGTTATGCCTATTTTAATTTAAAAATCAAATTTATGCAACTCGGCATCGGACACTCTCTGTAGAGTTTAGTCTGTAAATGTAGAGATGCCTTGGGGCTCTGGGGCCTGGGCCCTGAGCGAGGCTCTCGGGGTTATATTTATATTTTTAGATAAACTCTAGGCCATAGAAATGCATACGTGATCGGTGATACGACACGAACCGAATTGCTATATCTTTTTTTTAAATTCTACGCCTAAATATATATATAATAAAATCTTATGAGACGGCGGCAAATATTTACTTCAGTTACTTACATATCAAAAGTAGCCATCATGACAGACACTAGTAGATATCAGAGGTTGGAAGATAATGACGTAGCGGGTGTGGAAGACAGTGAAAACGATGTTACACTGGAACGAGCGCAGTCTACTACGACATCCGGATTTAGCGCAGCCCCTCAGTATGAGGCAGTTAGTACCGACGCAGATCAAGAGTTAGATAAAGAGCCAATAAACGAGTCGACTAGTTTAGTAGCACACACACCAAGTATCAGCCAAAGCCCTGGCGGTATAAACATGGACGTACCTCCGCCCGTGTATAGTAAGAACGGCGTGTCAGGTACTGCAGACGTGGAGAAGAATCTACCTACATATGAAGACTATGAGAAAGCACACGAGCATGAAGACGAGTTCGACACCAATCTACCAGAGCCCTATACTATGCCTATTGAATACAGTATGCGCGAAAACGGCCCAACTGTGACAGTATACGAAGGTTTTGATTTGGCCATCGGGGACGATTCAACTTTTGTTGCTACCATGTTCATATCCTTTTTCTTAAATTGGCTCGGCTTTTTACTGGCGTATGTATTCAGTCGCACCATTGCTGGCAAGTGCGGGGCTACCTCAGGCTTTGGTCTGGGTCTCATTAAGCTGGTGCTAGTAGTTAAGGCGAGTACAGATGACCATCAGTCATCATCGCATTCATCCAGCAGTACTGACAAGCAGGACGAGCAGTTTGCGAGTTGGTTCATGTGGATGCTGGTGTTCTTCGGCTGGTTCACTTTTGTAAGAGGTATCACCATATACCTGAAGTACAAGCGCGAGTTTGCTGCTGTTAGGTCTGAGATCTCTGCTATTTAAAAATCGATTATCTCTAAATAGTAAGTATGTTTGATTGTCTTCGACGGTTCTCAACTCTCGGGGATAAGAAGGCTTTGAATAGCGACGGTTCACAACCCTCGGGGATAAGAAGACTTTAAATAGCAAAAGTACGCCATGCGTTTCTGCTCAGGCGTAGTCCCGTAGGATCACTGGGCCACAAACGAAGGATCTGCGCAAGAAGCTGATGATTGAAAAATCAAGGACGATTTGGTCGTATGTGGTATATAGATAAAGAATATATATATATATATATATTCAGTATATGCATACGAAAATCTTTGTGTATAAATTTGCAGGTGTATAAATTATACGTGTGGGGGCTGGGTTGTCGTCGACAAGTCCAATCTATTCCTTGACGTGTAGTATATGATTATCCCTGGCCGGCCTTATGGTAGCTGTGGTTGCTACGAAGACGCAGACTAAACATTGCACGCCAGGACTGAAAAGTGGCAACAAACGGTGGGAGTAATATAGCGGTCGGATGGTTAAATAAATCAGCTGATCACCTTATCTTGGCATGTTGTTTTTGTTCTGCACATGGCAGTGTGACTTATAGCTTGATTTTTCCTTTTATATACAATCCTGAAGTTCGTAAGACCATCTATTTGCTTGGCTTTCCTTTCGTATACGAACTATAAACTTCCAGCAGCTACAGTTATCAACATCGACTTCTTTTTTCCATTCTCCTTACCTGTGCGACGTAGCCGCACATCACCACACGATAGCAGAATCTCATCAAATGATACACAGAACTTACACCTGGTCCGACGTAATATCATGTGGATGGTTTTATGTATGGAGCTACTAATTGCTTGTTTACTATATCATACTTACGAAGTAACTTTTGGCCGTTTTGAGATTAGATATCGAACACACAGAATAGATTAACAGCCAATTATCAGACTATCCAGAAGTCTGGGCCAGCACTCATGTTGCTCATACATACCGCATAGTCTAATACTGATGCTTTGTAGTCTGTACTACCACTTACTAAATAGAATAAAAAGCGTACAGATGGGGACTCGACTCAGTGCAGTCAATTCCTGGCACACTTATTTGTTGGTGGCTCCAGGACTCCACTGTCGGCCAGACTTATTCTCGACCCCACACTTGGTTGGTTCCAGCACTGTGTCGTGATTTTCGTCGTTTATGCCTTATCGCCTTTTGGCCTCATCAAAAGTTAATTTGTTTTAATTCTTCTTATATGCCACTATTCATAGATAGAGACTAATGTTCATTCATTTGGAAGTGATGTATGTGTTTTAGAGTGCCACGTATCTTTTACGAGTAGTTGGAACTATGAAGTATGGCTACACCTATTTGAAATATAATCGCAAATCAAACTCTATCTGACCTACGTATACGCCAATCAATCGCTCACCGCAACACATCTCATCATTGGACACATATATACACCCAGGGTTGTTGCCGAACCATTAACTTATACTGAAGTGTCCAGTCATCATACATGCCAATTACTATCAGTGCTGCACTCTTGCCAGCTAGAATGGTTCGGATTGTGCCCCAATGTGGAGATGAATTTGATCAGAAATATACCCGATTGTGGTCAATAGATACAAACGTACAAAGCAAAGTATTCTCACTGTCAAACGGGTGTGTTGTGTGCTTTAGGCCGCTCGGCGATAAAGCTATTTAAGTAATTTGTCTGGTGAGTATACGTTTGTACCATCACCGTGGCAGATACCCGCGCATAAATTGTACAAGCCTGCGTGCACGGCAAGCAACCTGTTAGGGGGACCAAGCGGTGGAGTTATACGAATTGATTAGTCGAGTATATAGAGGGTAGACATAAGCCGAATATGGAACTGGTGTACCCTGTCTCTGTAAAACAACCCACAAGTGATTGAGCTATCGAACATCCGCGCACACTGTACGTTGTTACCAAGCACGATTAAATAATGTGGCCTTGATTTTCTGGCATAAGTTCGTCCCAAAATACCCTAGCTTGTCGTGATGAACAGCATAAGTGTATATACTGCAAGAAATTCGCTACTGACGATACCAATTTGTATCTAGGTTAGGTGCGTATAAAGCGGTATATACATATTTAGATATATTTGTATAACTGTATTATTCATCCACGTTTACAATATTCTCCACCTAAAATGGGTGTCTGTACTTTAAATAGAAACTGGTTTCTTTCTCACATCCCTCCCTGATAACTTACCATGCATTACAATACGGTCCAAAGATAATTTTATTTCCACTCCTGGATGTTCTCATCTGGAAAAATAATACATTTCCCACATAAAAACATATACTTATATACGCATCACTCCTCCAAATCTTCATTAAACTCCAAGGCATCTCTGTTGTTCTGGAAGCCTTCGCTCTCCTCGCGGAAGAACTTTCCATTGGGCTGCGACCCGGGGGGAGGGGTAGCGGCATACATCTCCTTGGGAATGCGATTGTACATCTCAAATATGTATACCATACCGAATAGCAGCAAGCCTTGAAGATCCTTCTGAGTGAGCTGTATCTCGAATACAAGGTATGCCGCAAGCACGTAGAAGAGATGCACAGGCACCATCAAGAGCGCACACGGTGTGAAAAGGAGCGCCAATGCTATGACCCTGCACATAATCATGAAGTTAGGGTTCACATTGTACTTCTGTATATTCTTCTCAGCGAATGCACCGTTCATCATAATATTCTCATTTTCCCATAATCCCCTCGCACCTGAGGAGGAATTAGACTGTGTACTAAGACGTTTGTTCCAGCTACCACCTGTGATGAGCATGCCGTTATTTCTCCCGCCCATAGGGCTTCTCGAGTACTGTGTGCGTTTGTGGAATGATCTGCGTGCTTGCATCTCCTTGGGGTCAGTACGTTCCACCAGCCACTCCACGCATAGTCTAATGGTGTGCATTGAGCCAGTATCGTTGTGCAGCTCATGTGCACCGCCCTCTACCCAGTGCGATCGCACGTCGTGAGTACTCACTTGCTGCACATACTCCTGTGTAGCGATGTGGCTGGTGATAGCGTCCGATGTGCCGTGGACAAAGAAGCACGGCACGTCCATCATTTGAGGGTTGTCAAATACCTCTTTGGCAGTGGTGAGTAGCTGATTACCAAACTTCACAGTCATAAAGGGAAGCATAAGCCTGTCGTGGAACACCTTGGTTACTTCGGCGTGATCGTCACTCAGGCCACAGGGGTCTATATTTGAGCTTATTAGAAACTCGCCGAGGACGCCCGCTGCCTGCTTGAGCATCAGAGCCTTCCACCACGGCAAGGCCTTGGTGAGCTTCAAGAATGGTGATGCGATGATAGCCCCTTCAATACGAGATAATGGGTGGGTTTGGATGTATCTTAACACCGCCAAACCACCCATAGAGTGACCAAACAAGTATAAAGGTTTCATTGGATCAGCCTGCTGTATGAGTACGCCTATATCCTTGATTAACTCGGAGAATAAACCATCAGCGCGTGGGCCACCGCTGTATCCGTGGCCTCGCAAGTCAACTGTGTGCACGATGAAGTTCTGTTCTACAAAGGATTCGGAAACATGGTTGAAACGTGCAGAGTGCTCACCAAAACCGTGCACTAAGCATAAGTTCGCGTGTACATTCTTCTGTGCCTCGGGATCGGTGGGTCCGAATTTGCGATACAACAAAAGGAGGCCGTCGAATGACGGGATGTACTTTTCTTCTAGCTGAGGCATGGTGATAGTGAGGTGTTGCTGATGCCTACTAAAGCACGAGTATTGAAGTGTGCGAGTATGCTTACTTTTCTTTTATAGAAGTGTGCCTGGTTTTTATAACATGTGGTGTGATCATATGCAGCCTTATAAATCAAACAGGTGATTGCAGTTCTCCTTATAACTATGTAGTATGCGTGTACTCTCTCCAACTCTCTATGTAGTAGAGAGCAAATATTAAAATACACATATCAATACAAATTTTAAAATCATACAACGGCGCCGACGGCAGAATGCAGATCCAGGCAGCCGGCAGGACAGTAGGACCGCAGCCTTTTTTTTTTCCACCTCTTATCGGCCTAGCAATCTTTAGTTTCTCACTATGCAAAAAGCCACAAACAGAAGAAGCCAAGAAGGCAATGTAATTAAGTATTTATGTGAAAAAGCATGTGATATTTTTCACGGTTCTATTCTAAATATAATCTATTTTACAGCTACCAATAGTTCTATTCTCGATTTCTCGTCCATCAACATTAGGAGATCTGAATAAGAATTCACCAATGCAAAATCTTTACCGAGGATAAAACCGAATCGTGGTGGTGCTAGTATACTATTACGAGACGTTTAATTGATGAAATATAACTTTTCTGAGACTCTATTGGTGTAATATGAACAAGTTATATCTTTTAATTCACACATGTTAAAAGTATTTCTGAATAAAAATAGTTTCTATACAACATTACACTTTCATGATGTCATACATAATCTTATAAACAATCAATTACCATGATATCAGCGGCTAATAATATTTATATGCGTATTATGAGTGGTAGCACCACATGGCAGAATAGCGTGCAATCGTTCATAATACGCACTAAAAGTGTATGTGAATGACATGAATTATTTCTTTTACGTTCGATGATGTCAGGCGATCGATAAACAAACAGAAGCAGCAGGCCGCAGGGGAACAGAAATAAATATAATCCCGATTGCAAACCTTGTGGACGCCATATACACGCATACAGTATCACAACTCAACCAGACATACGCACACACACACAATGACTAGTCAGCCCGTACATCTGTGGATCCGTGCCGAGGTCAAGTCTCAGGAGCATCGCGTACCTATCACGCCCGAGATCGTTAAAAAGCTCTTGGATACTGGATTTAAAATTACCGTAGAGAAGCAACACGACCGATGCGTTGCAGATGCTGAATATGAAAAGTATGTGAGCAGCTATTGTTATCTTTGGCATTAGTATGTTGAGCGGGCAGGTTATTACACTCGTCTCTTGCATTATATCATTAAAAACCGGCGAGTATACAGTCTTGTGGCCGTTGAGTGTATGTAGTACACTAGGTTCTGCGTTCCACCATCTGTTTAGACGTTTATACCATTTGGAGGTATATCGGCATTTCTACTGCGCATGCGTAATGGAACGTTGTATTATCAATAATATGCTGATGCGTTTAGAGAACTACGCCTCGTCTCATCTTGTTATGCTTGGAGACCATCGTGCTCTCCTACTTCTGGAGGTTTCCTAACTGTATATGTTAGGTTTCACTTACAAGTGCGTACGTGGGCTCAGGTTTCAGTAAAGTTAAGCATAGTAAACGGCCCCTCACGCTTAAGAGGATATAAGTGCGTAGTACTAGACTCGAATGTTTGCATAGAGAATGCGCATTCCTAAATGTGTGGCGTGTGTCCGATCAGCGTTCAAACACAACGTAGCTAGGTATTGTATCGAGTCTGTGTTAGGTATCACTACTTTGTTTTCAGAGCTGTTCTTAGTTTTTTTTTATACTCTAATCTCCTACGGTGTCCCGTCATGCACACTCTACGATCAATATGGTGTAGTAGGCACACATCACGGATCAATATGGTGTCTCGGGTTGATATTCTGTACAATGATGCATGCATGCAACTGGGGTATATGTATCATACCAGAAAGAAGAATAGGAACATTCCTATACAAGTCTGTATTCACTCCTCGACAGATTATGTGCTCCGATTTAAAAGTTATAGACCCTGGTTTGAAAGGCGTATAGGTGTGTTCACACACTATATTATACGTAAGCGGTGATATGATGTTAGCGGGTGGGGCGCAGGTGTGTATAACTCGATATCTTTTCATACTTTCTCTGCGACGAGTGCATAAAGGTTTGGATGCAGATACTTGCATTCCGCACATTTCTCATCAGTAGTTACACCTATACCTCGATTTATTTATGTATATTGAAGTTCAAGTACTTTCACACTCTCTCGTTAGTACTCCCACCATCCAATTTCCGATCCGTCCAACTATTAGTCCATGTATATTTGAGTAGATTCACACCGATACACACACCCTCACGAAATATGCAGGGTTGGTTGCACAATGGTAGAGGGAGGCACATGGAGAACTGCACCCAGTGATGCGTATATCTTTGGACTCAAGGAACTTCCTGAGAATGATGATTCGCCTTTGACGCACACACACATCTACTTTGGACACTGCTTCAAGTATCAGGTACGAGTTTATCTTTTCATGTATTTATTTATATATATATATATATATGATCAGTTTAGGCTTAGATGAATGTGATGTGAGTATATGTCCGGTTCGAATATTTTTTGACAAGCATTATATATGCAAGCTTTGTAGTACTATATCAGGATAGTCGATCACCGAGATTGTACTGTCTTGATTAAACCTTGGTGCACCAAGTGTTGAGCTTTGCTGGACTCGGACATTCTCAGACACGTGAAGGAGCATATTGAGATATATCCGTCAGCTGATAAACAAGTTGGAAATAGTAATGTATTATCGCGGGCATGGATGTAAGACCCGTTTGGGATTGGAAGGTGCCAAATTTATATCGCAACGTCCGATTACATGCCACATGCAAATTAATGAGCTCTGTAGCATTCTGAATCTGGTGAAATACTTGTGGTAATCGGTCGATCGTCGTTGCACACACAAGATAGGTATATCTTTTAGTACTATTCGACGGATACACAAAACCTGTTTTCGATCAATCTAATACACGAGCATACGCCTGCAATGTAGACAGGAGGGAGTGAACTTCTATTACAATCTTGTGCTAGGACGATAGTTTTGCTGTATTTGAGGTAGATAGGTGAACGTCTCTTTCAAACTCTCGCGTCGGTAGCTTCGGATGCTATAAATCTACAGGCCGGAAGGACTATTCTGTACATTACGTAAAGCAAGGCAATTCTGCTACATCTTGAGCTTTTCGTAGAAAACTTATGGATGGACCAAAGTAGAAAGCTAATCATATGTATTCATATCCCTTTCGTTGTGTATCTGTATAGACCGGCTGGAAGGATCTTCTCGCGCGTTTCCGTAATGGAAAGGGTGTTCTGTTGGACCTAGAGTTCTTGCAGGATAGCGTTGGACGCCGAGTAGCTGCGTTCGGATACATGGCTGGCTACACTGGTACTGCTGTGGGAATTGATGTATGGTGCAACCAGAAGTTGGGGTGAGTGGGCGTGTTATTGATATATGTGTATACAAAAATGTTCTATGTAGATTCGCTACTGAATAATTTGTGTGTGTTTCGCTGTACCACCGGTTATCTTGATAGTGCTGTATGAATAGACCAAATTTGGCATTTAATTTATACTTTTTTACTGTTGTGTATGCACACATCATAGAGGTTGTCATGTGCGGCGGTACCACTATGAGAAATGACACACGAAGTGAAATTATGACTAGAGATGAAAGTATATATGGTATATGGCTACGTCTATATTAATTGATGCAGGCGCGAATAGTATGTAATTCCCATCCCTGTACCACGTACAATTCAATAGCCTACAGTCACGTTTGTGCGCAATATGATGTCGCCGACACACTTAGAGGTACTTGAAGGTACCTACATGTACAACGTTTGCACGCACCTCTTCATAAAACACCCAAACAGATGAATTTAGAAGATGAGACGGAGATATACGTGCCTGTATGTAACAATACTGACACTGTAATAACTCAAAGCACATACGCAACATGCATGATTTTCTCGTCCATACACTCATAAAGATAACATGCATACACCCCTTATGGCACCACTTAAATATACAACTTAGGAAGCATTCAACTTCTAATGCTATTTCCTTGTCTACCAGAATTTGGTATCCCTAGACAAGGTGAACGCCTCCTGCCCTGATACTGAAGTGCTTACGGCACATGTACTGGTACACACACTCGCCTTTTCAGCAACATACACGAAGACCCAATTATACACATATCTTTCCAATCTAAATCACAAAACTAACGACGCTACTCCGCTTTGCCTCATATGCATTGAAGTTCGGGTGCTCTCGAGAAGGTTAACGCCCCCTATCCTGATGCGGACGCGCTTAAGAAGTACCTGAAAGAACGTATTGACGCTGCTGTGGAGAAGGGTGCTGTACTGCCCCGTGTTGCAGTGATTGGGGCACTAGGCCGATGCGGTCGAGGTGCCTGTGACTTTGCGACGGAGGTGAGCTCTATACTCTATACATATATCTAAGTATATCATACAAAAGTATACATCTGTTTGTGCACGAGTGTACTTTAAGAATGCTGGTGACATCGATGTGTCCATTAATCACACGCTTTCTGACGCAATGTACGTTTGCCCTTTCCCTTTCTGACCCAGGTTGGCATCCCGGAAGATAACATTGTTCGTTGGGACATGAATGAGACCAAGGGCGGAGGTCCTTTCCCTCAATTACTGGATGTCGACATCCTTGTGAATTGCATATATCTCACAGAGAAGATCCCTCCTTTCATCACCACAGACATGCTGAAGGAAACCTCAGGTATTAAAAGGCGTAAAATTGGATATCTATGCACGTGTTGTGTATACTGGAACCTGTTATTACAATACGTCTAATGGTGTCCCACCTCGATGACTTTCAATTGAACAACTCCTTTATCTCGAGTACGTCTTAGTCATTTAATAACGACCCGTCAAAAAACCGTACGTACAAATGCTTGCTTCGTTTGTTCTTATGCTGACCAATCTGTGCTTATCATACATATACACCTTGGCAGAGACTCGCAAGTTGTCCGTGCTGGTGGATGTCAGCTGCGACTACACAAGCGAAAACAACCCCGTACCTGTGTACACTGAAGGCACCACATTCAGTAACCCCACGGTGGTGGTGCCAGACGTGTAAGTAAACATTGTGTACGAGTTCTTACATATTTTATTACGTGCATATAACAGTGGTGTGTTACTTTTCCGATTTGTTTTATATGAATACGAAGGCAAGCCGTATTTTCAACGTCTGTTTTCGAGCGCATTGGTCGTACACAGTTGCTAAGACCGCGTTTGTGGCACCCAAAATGTAAATTGGCACGCATGCTTTATGTATGTGTGTGTGTGTAAGTGGTTATGCTTACTTTAAGTCTACCGTTATACTTGCATGCACCCGCGTATGTATCGAAACGTTTATATAAACGCAATCACGAATTGATTTGTGCTCGCGCGTGCCCGAGTACGCTATGACTGCTGTACCACAGGATGTCTTGAAATAAACGACGCATACATGAAACGCGCATTTGTAACAAGTCTCATTGGTTCGAGTGGTTGTACTGCTGAGCTCTTCAGTGAACGTTCGAACTTAGTTGAAGAGCATACAGGCAATTTCATTGTTTCTGTATCAATTCGTTTTTTTCTATGTCGACACTGACTGCTTCTCTTGCTGGTGAGAATTGCGCGATAACCCTTATTGATCACAGAGAGGCTACATACGTATTTGAATACACACATCTTCGATCATTTCCATTTCGAACACACTTTCATATTTTGTTTCCACATTAGCACTTTCATATCCTCATTATATATATTCCTTCTGCCTGTGTACTCCCCATTGTATTGTGCAGTGGAAAGGTCATGGAAGTAGTGGCCATCGATCATCTGCCCACACTCCTACCTAAGGAAAGCTCAGAACGCTTCGGCGCAGACCTCCTCCCCACACTACTCGCTCTGCCACAGGTATGTATATAATATTATACTCGCATATATCATGTGTACGTGAATGGATTAATTCGCGATACCCGAAAAGTCTGCGTATAAATATAGTATTCGGATCAACTTCGAATGTCACGTTATAAATAGTTGAGCGTTCAGAATATATTTAACAATTGTGGGATGATACTGTTTGCAACTTCCTCTCCGCTTCAACCGCGGTTTAAATACATTGTTAAGCTGTAGTGCAAATTCTCAAGAAGGGGTTGTACGTGGATATGTGGATTATTCTGTACGCAGTAGGCATATTGAGTAACAGCTTTTTTATTGCTATATCCATATTAGACATATTCAATTTTTTATTCATATATAGATCGATCCATATATCCATGGCCGACAATCGCACCTATCTGAAGGACTTGTGATAGGAGAAGCTCACATTTGTTCGAGGATAGGGAAAATGTATTAGAGCGTACGAATACATGTGCAGATACATTTTATATGTACGTTTGTGCACATATATGTATACTGACGTGAAGTTGACATCTAACCCACTCCAGGTGAAGGAGGATGAAGTTTGGTGCAGGGCTCGCAAGCTGTTCGATGACAAATTGGCGGAAGCTGAGAAATAAGCATATCTCGCTGACTTCTAGGCTGGAAAGATGTTGTAGATAGTTTTATAGATCCATGGCGCAGAGCTTAACAGCCACGTCGATGCCCGAACACATCCAAGTCGAGTCTATATAACTCGAATGCCTTGGAATGTGTACCCGGTGTATGGTATCGTACAATAAAACCTAGTACCGCTAATGTGATCCATGGACAAGGCAGAACATAGAACGGTTTATAACATTGAACCTTAATTGTGGTACATAGGTAGTCGTATATTGATATTCAAACACGCAATTTAGGATGAGATTCTGCCGCTCCTAGCCTTGGTCTATGTCAGTCTCTAGATAAGCTATTATGCGAGCACTGACATACTGATACGTCAGTGAAGGCGAAAGCGTGGCACATTATATGCAATGGTTCAATCTGAGTTCATACAAATACTCAGTTATTATTGAATTCTGCCTATCGATCATATTAGAAGGATACCCAAGAGTAAAAGCTCATGCGATACTATACTGTAACTTGTAAGTCAGTGCCTTCTGAGGTGCATGAGCTAATACTAATCCTATATATATATAAAATATGGGATTATGTTAAACTTTCTAGTTTTTGGCTCTACACGATTCTCGAATCGAGTGTTTGCCAAACTTTCGATCAGAATATCCTGCAGTGAATCATCGGTATTAAGCTAAATATGAATACTACTGCAGTAGAGAGCGAACGTGCTCATCAGGAGTATTCGTCCAAGACGAGTAGCTTATCACATTAGAGAGTGCACACGCGATTACTTGTTCTCGCCTATCATCGATCAAATATGTAGTCGCGTGACAAAAGTTTTTCTTTGACTATCAATAGATGCCTTCAAAATAGTACCATGCGAGTTGATTTAGATCTCCGGGAACTCACCTAGCAACAAGAATGTAATTAGTTCTCCAAATACAATTCGATCCCGGGCCCACGCTCTTACATAATGAAAAGAATATGAGTCAGTTTTGAAATCATTACGTTTACGTCAGTAGTAAATACGATCGATCTCTGCGCCCTGAGCGCGTTATAGATGAAATATGAATTATTTTTTATTTTCATAGCCTCGGCCGACTTTACTTGTCACGGTGACATTTCAGATCTGCCGACGATTTCCGAGACGCATTCAGCGTTGCCGTAACCTCTTTCAGCAACACCGCTTTTCCTGACAACTATTCCTAGCGGTTGATAAACTTTAGTGACCTGACTGTCATTGAATTCACGTAGCGCACTCCATATCGTAAGTGGTGTAATTGTTCCGAAAAATATCACCTCATACTTTCTTGCGCGCATCCCAATGTATCGAACGATCTTCTGAATAGTGTTGCTGCAGATTTGCGGGAAATGAACACACGTGAACCAAGCATGGCAGATGTGGCCAAGAAGGCCAATGCTTTTGTCGATTATGGTCCATATATGCAAATTGAACCTGCTCAGTTCAAGAAAGGGAGTAAGCAAGTGTCAGGAAAGACAAAGAAGTCTCACCTATTATAAAGAGAATTGTATCCTAGTTCTCCACGAATCATTATTCTGAAGGTTTGCGAGCGCGCGATTAGACGAGTAACAACATGTTCAAGACCATACTCGAAGAAATGTGAATTAAACCTGCAAGTATTTAAAAGACATGCGTGATACCACCGAACGTGAGTATTGCTACTATGCGACGAGCATGTTTTAATCCAAGTTTTATCGATGATACTTTGTCCCGCATACTGATGTACACTTTCAAGTGTGGAAACATAACAAGCCATAGCAAAGCGTCAGACTATATATTCAGCTGCTTTTATTAATATTAATAACCTCGGCCATGTGTTCCACGGTCATGACAATTTCCAATATACCACATAGGAGGAACCCTGAGGAACCGGCACAGCTATCAATTAAATCGCAAGCGATGGTGACAGGCCAGTTCGAAAAGACCTATTAAACGAATAATTTTATATGGTATGATGAGCGCCAACTAGTGCTTGCTCCTTCCATTGCATGTTTTAACGGCCTCCAGTAGGCCTAGATCTGCGCACAGGTCTGCGGTGGCAGAGAACCCGTTGGATTTGTAATACGCGCCAATTAGCGCCTCCATCGCATCGGCACAAGTCTTGGAGTCATAGTCGAATGTGCTCTTGGTGCGTATGTAGCGCAAATACGGCGCCGCGATTTTTGCCAAAACCCGGTTGGAGACTGCTTTGCCTTTCAGGATAGTCATCTCGCCATTGTCTGCGTTAGGATTTGTGTGGTATAAATACTGCACCACCACTAGGTCGAGCACAGCGTCACCTGAATCGATGTGATCGGATATTGGGTATTGGGATAGTATGTACCGGTACATGGACCGGTATATATAAACATGAGTAAACTTTGATATACTACTATACTGTTTCGTCAACACAGGCGAACAGCGCAACACATATTCCCGCACAAACGACCCGCATAAATTCACTTCTCGGCAATCCGGCAAGTTCGATAACGTACCCAATAATGCAAGCCTGAGAAAGTTGCATCCATTAACACTGGCGCTTGGGTGTGTCAGTGCTTCGTCAATTGCGGCTACATCCACATTCTGGAAATCGGAGAACTTTTTAACAAAATCCTTCCCCGTAAATTGAGTGGCCAGGTTGTGATGTCGCTCATCTCTGACCATAGACTCGGGATCCAGGGGAGCTAGTGGATGCACATATTCGGGTGCTTCCGCTGTGATAATATCTGCGTATGTTTTCTTATCAAGATCAACGGCCGAGCAAAGCTCGAGTACCTGAAAAATATTCAAGCACAATGTATCTATCATCAGCAGACTATCAATCCAAACCAACTTTGCAGATTTACGATTATATATATACCAACTCATCTCGCAGACTATGATTAAAGGTCACGATGCTTGCTTCCCATATATGCACTCAGTTCATTGCAGAAATTGCAAACTCCACACTCCTGTTGCTACACAGATAACGACACTGTTCGCGGGGCTTCTTTACATCCATTCATGCGACATTATTCGCCTGATTTGTAAAGTGGCTTGCTGCCTACTAGTTTGCTGTGCTAGATCTAATAATTATAATTTGCTAAACACGCGGGCACGAAAAATATACATAGGCTTGTCACTGGTGAATATCTCATCAACACGATACGCACGCTTCTCAGTGCTGTTGTATAATAATATACGGATCGCACACAAATACGCGACTGTACACTATGCTGTGCTTAGAACGTTATCCTGCTTTACGCTTGCACAAAAATAAGATGTAGCATCCGAAGTAATAGTTTTTGAAAAGTGCATGCCGCCGTCTGTATATCCGTCCATAATTGCCTACACAGTAGTAACAGTGGTGACTGAGCTACCTGCTCGTAAGCGGGTCCCTTAGAGCTACCGAATTTCCGCCCCCATCCTTGCGGTTCGTAGCACTCCTGGCAAAAGCGCACTATCCCCGAAGGCTTCACAAATGCAGTCCATTCGTGCTCTGCAATAGGATCAGTGCTTATCGAGCATGCGCTGTGCACGTTTTCCCATCCACAATCCTTCCCAGATCCCCACTCCTGACCGTACCGTCTTACGACGTGACATGCCACGCAGATGTGGCCTTTTATGGCCTTGGCTTCATATCTTGAACTCCAAACATGAGATTCATTCGGCATAATGTTTGGTTGCTAGTGTTGATATACACACTTGTAGAAAATGAAAGGTGGCTTTAAACTTGATGATGCACGCGCTGACCAGGGGTAGAATGTGAATGGAGTAAGAAAGATTCGACATGAGCCGAGAGAGCAGGTTCTGTATCGACGATTGCAAATTCATGGTCGAGTTGAATCAACAACGAAGAATACTCCCATTGGCGTTTAAACTATTACATCGTGCTCACGAGATATTGAACTTAAAATGTTGGGGAGTCCGAAGCACGAAACCCACTTTCTCAGTCAAAAAATGTTGACACTTGCTAATGCCATCTGATAGCATTCATTTATCTTGGTGCGGACGATTATAGGCATTGAATGTGTACATACATGTATAAGTCTCCGCAATATAAATATCAGCTACATGCTGCCTCTTGTAAAACGAGTACACTGATTTGTTACATTCACATCCTTATTGGGATCCCGCACAAAGTTTATGCTAGCCTCCTATATCAAACTCAGTGTTTGACAATTAGTCACACTGCAGGCGTGATTCTCTTCCATCAGTAAGAAGTTCACAAGAATGTGCGACAGTATTGCGATCATCCGATTTCAGATATATCTCGGTGTAAACTCTACACATCTGGAACGATTTGGGTGACTTATATACGAGTGTACGTTTGAAATGTGCGAATCTATGAAACATGGCTGAGCACCGGACACGGCTATAGATAAGTCAAGTGTGCAAGCGCAAGCGTATGCGCATGATATGATTTGTGTGTTAACTTAGTAATCGGATTCCTGCGGTTGCTGTCAGCTTAACTAGAGGAGTGCGTTTGCAAATATACATCATTAGGTTTTTGTTGACATCGCATCTTGTCAAAAAGATATTCATCCATCGGATAGGATCATGTACTCAGTAAAAAACAAAAATCAACTCTCAGACTCCGCAAACAACGAGCGAAATTATAGAGCGCCTCTGTGACTATCCGAATTTCATAGGGATAGATATTTGCTCTGGCGCAGTTCGAGACCATAATAGTACCAAACAATCCAAACTGTACAACTTCACTGGGTGGGCCTGCTCACTATGAAATGGTATCACACTGTGAGACCTACTTCAAATCGACAGTGCTGTCAATTCGTGAAAGCAGGCTGTAGTAAAGTTCTTATGGCAGGTTGTCGTACGGATTGGTGTATCTGCCCTATACGGAGCTACCCCTGGTTATACTTGCTGCATAACCGCCCCTGATATTCACTTGACAGTGTATGGGTTAAGAATAAAGCTAGATAAATCAAAACACGTACATTCCTCCCAAAAGGCTGACGACGTCAAATGTCCATTCCGAGCGTAAATATATCAATCGAATACCTCTAATTAATCAAGTTTACCGCTCTTTAAAACATTCGCCACAAGCGCGAGTCTGTGGACACCAGGGTATGTCCGAGACATCGAAATATACACACTCTACTCTCCGCACTTGTTTATTTGACCACAGCGAACAACACTACATGTGTCGGTGCATCTTTCTAACATCATGCTATCCTAGAAGCCTGCAAGGAGTTGGGTACTAAATTAAAACTCTACTCGCACTCTAGAAAGTCGCTTAAATATCAGGAATCGAGGACATATTCTTGAAACATCGTTCATAGTATGTTCTGCTTTCCTATACGTTGCATATGTATGATAACATGTGTCTTGCCGTTTCTATATGACCGACACATACGTATTGTGAAACGGATCCCATCTGGTACTATTGCGACTACACTCCAAACAATCTATTTACAGATGTTTGCTAGTGTCATATGAACCGTCTCGTTCGTTGCTCGGTTGCCTCACTGTATTTTGCAATTTTTACAAAGTCGTTCTTGATGTAGACGTTCACTCTGTGCAAAAATCCGCTCAGTGCTATACGAAAAACCTCGATCTTGCTATACTTGGTTATGAAAGCCGGTCCCGTCATAGACACTGCGCTGCCAATGTTGAGGGGTTTGAATCACCGTTGAGCGATGTAGTACATAGGCCTGTCTGACGGATCCGTACAATAGTACTACCAATACGATAGCTCAGACAAGCGTTTGTAATGAGACAGGCGATCCCAATCGCCAATCTGCTTCCGTCCGTACATAGTATTGTCCACATTTGCTTTGTCGTACCATTCACAAATGCCCTCTTGCGTTTATCTTATCGCCTGCTATGGCTACGACTGTCATGTCTATCTCTCGATCTCTTTCTGCCCCTGTCTCGACTCGTTTCCCTGCCACCATCCTTGCGCCCCTCTCTATCCCTAGTTGCATCGCTCCTCCAATCATCCCCATTCCCCTTGTTATCTCTACCCTCCTTATACCCACCTCTACTCCTGCTGCTTTCATTATCCCCACCTATATGCTCGCGTCTATTCCTGTCTGGATTACCGTGTCTGTTGTCACCCCGATCGTCTCGCCTGTTGCGCTTATCTTTTGTACTGAACTTGTCTTTGGCGTCTCTCTCACGCCGTGCGATTGTGAGCGGATTGCGCGGATCTTCCAATGTGTACATATCTTCCGCATTGTCTGTAATACAGGACATCGATAGAGTAGGGGGGGGGAGTTCTATTTTAGATACTTTCAAGAAACAGATAGAAAGCCAACTACACAGCATCTACTGATAGCCGGTAGTTGGTTGCCAGTATCGTCATGCACGTGTGAATATTTATAACCCCACAGAACGGTGAATAATTGATCTCTAATCAATAATTTATATAGCACATTTACATTTGAATAAGGAAACGGGACCGAACAAAAGAGCGCTATTGTTTCTATATGGATATGGAGAACATTGTTTACCTACATGCTGTTGTTAGCGATATCGGGACTATTCAAAGGAACGTTTAAGAGGAATTGAAAATGGAGGACACATAGAACGCTTACACTTATAATAAGATTATACCTTTGAAAGGATCCTTCGAGAGCACAAGACTATCTTCTGGGTCGAAATCGAGTGCATGTGACATCCAGTCGTCGCTGAGGAATATTGAAGGACCCGAAATGAAACAATCTGACGTTAATATATACTGGTAGTATCGAACACAGCAGTGGTTACATAAATCTGCAACATTCTCGATCAAGTAGCCCAAATCCTTCTTATTCGCACAAACGTATAGATCAAACTCTCAGCCAACTGTGCATTAAGATTGTGCCTACAGAATAATTTGGTAAGGAACCCCTCCAACATGGTGATTGATACTAAATACGTCATGAATATGTACGTGCAGCAGGCCTTTCCCGTGTGTGCAGTACTAGACTAGCTTCAGGTTTCTCACATCCACTACGAAAATGATTGTAGCTAAACTTACCTCACCCATTGATAGTCTCACTACTAGTACCTCTGTCATGATCCGCCTCAACACTTGACCAGAATTCCGTTTCGGTTCCCCTATCTGACCCCAATATATACACACACCATCGAATTCACACTCGTACCAATTCTTACCTTCCCTATTTTTTTATCTGATATACACACTGGAGAGCACTAACATGATACATTTAAGCACCGTTTTATGAAGCGTGCAATCTCACAAGCTCCCACTTACCCATTTGTACTACGCCCCCCACCCTTCCCCTTCATATCCGCATCCAAACTAGCACTATCCGTATTTTTCCCATTTGACTCTTCTTCCTCTTCCTCCTCGTCACTCTTATCCGCCCACGACCGTGCACTAACTTTCATCTGAAAGCTTTCCAAAAGAGCCTTGGCCTTCGCATCGGCTTTGGCCTTCCCCGTTGACCCCAAACTGTCCGCGTACTTCCGCCTCTGTGCTTCCAGATACGCTTCCCCATCATCCACCGCAGATTTCACCTGGTTGTCATTCACTCCAGTCTGTGTATTTGTCTCCGCAATACGTCCATCTCCCATATCGCGTTGCCTTCGCTTGCTCTCTCTGATCTCGCGCACTAATTTCTCGGTCTGTTCTGCGGTTGTCAAACTCTTGCTCGTCTTGGCAGCACTCGATGTGTCCTCCTTATATTTCTTTGTATCGCTTTCATCTTCCGTTTCCCTAACCTTATCATCGGATACACTCGCACCCTTTCCATCACCATTCGCACTGGTACCCTTGCTTTTCTCCTCACTCACCACCGGTTCTATAGCGCCCACTTCTGCTGCAAGCGTCGGGTCTGCCAAAGCTTCGTGTGCACTTTTAATCTTCATTCGCTTTGTTTTACTTTTACTACTAAACATGTTGTCTGCCTCCCCTTCATCCTCTTCATCGTCATCTCCTCCAAATGAGAGCAGCTTAGCGTCTCGAGTTTTCTTCATTTTGGATCCCTTTGCCTTGCTTTCTTTGTTGGCCCGAGCTTGGTCGATCTTCGCCTGAAGTTGTGTAAATGTATGTATGTGAATGGGTATGTATGTATGTGCAGCAAGTGTACACAAATGTGTAAGTGTATATGTGCTTGTACATTATGCATGATAGTGTGTATGCAGCAGTATAAGTATATGAATACATATGCGTAGATATGTGCAGCATTGTAGATGATATCAGGCATGTTTAACAGTGTGTACGCCAATACAATATTGAGCTGGTACGATATCTGGTGTGTCACATTGTAAGCAATATATCGAATTTTGATTCAAATCGTGATGAGATTCGATATAAACAAAGATACCCGCAACCAATACATACCAGCCTTGCAGGCAAAGAGCGCGGCACGATATCATCAAAAGGATTGACCAGCACTTCAATATACTTGATTCTAGGGGGATTTAAAGGCCGCTCATCTTCGTCTGTTTCCGCATCTCCAACGCGCAGTACATTGAAAATAGTTTCATGATCGACCCTCCCAAACAATGTGTGTTTCTTATTTAATCCCTCGGTTTTATCCAGCGTGATGAAAAACTGACTTCGGTTGTCATGGCTACCGCTGTTAGCCATGGCAACCAGGCCACGCCGCGAGAACTTAAGTCTTTGATGGAATTCGTCCTTGAAGGGCTCTACATGGTACAGAAGGAAAGAAGATATATATTTCATATCCGGGCAGCAGTCTTACTGTTTAGTGAACTAATATACGAAAGTGGTCCGCCAGGTCATTGTTTTTCGCCTTCTATTCATCACTTAGGACTTGTGGGCCGTAGGAATATCTATAGTACGCGATATGGGACTACCCTTTGGGACCCACAAATTTTCTAAAATAAGGAAGGAGCATTGGAGAAACCCAATGAAGTGAATGCTACTTACGACCTCGAATAGAATCCACCAAGTACCCATGACGACTACAAGCACTGTGGATGATAGAGAAGCGCATCTAGTCAAGACAGAGACATATACAGAGAACAATTTATCTCCTCACATACTTGTGTATCTGAGTAGATATGAAGTCTTGCGTGATAACGACATCTGGATCTTCACGCACTTGAAATGTTCATGGACGAAAAGTCAACCTAATAAGCACTCGGAGTACACATACCTACACATATACAAACGCCAAGAATGGGTAAGAGCAATTCTGTGCGCGCTTCGTTCCCGTCAATCCCATACCTACATAAACTTACGAATGCTGCACAGAAAAAAAGTACACTCACTCAACCCGTCCCATACACACGAGTACTTACCATCATATATGCTTTCTCCACCAAACCCCGTCCCGGTGGGGTCACCCATTTGTATCATGAATCCCTTAGAGATTCGGTTGACTATATTGTCGTCGTAGTAGCCTAGGCGAATAAAAAGACAAGGTATGACGTGTCAGACATGTCCGAGCATCCGTGACATTTTTAGATTTCCGTGGGTGGGATGGATATAGATCATAGAAACGCGTATGGGTATCGCTCGATACGTAGGAAACTCCGAAAGTGGTCAAATCGGTTTACTCATTGAAAACTGTGTTAGCTGGCTTTGAACTCCACGTACGTCATACAAGAGTTCAGAAGTACCACTGACTACATATGGAAGTGGAATATGCACCCATGGTCGAAATCAGAACATACATACTAATAAAATTAGTGGGGTGGAATGACAAACGATAATATACGACCTAGCCAGCGTACATTTCAAAGATATTTCCACGAATGACAAGAAATACGGCACAATAAGTACGACATCAATCAGGAAAGTGCCAGAAAGAAGTCAAACATCCACAAGGCAAGGAGAGCATATATACATGATGAACAGAAAGTATGTAGATGAACAAACCGACGTGCAAAACAACACTTGGAATCAACGAAGCACGTGAATATTGATAACAGTCTACGCAGAAACTGCGTCAGGATGACTACACACCTTTCCTATTTTCAGGAAGTAAACTCGTATACGGAAGTTTATAC